AGCCACTCCGTTGCCCTCCTCTGTAAGTACAACGTCTCTTTCCTTTATAATTTTGGGTAAAGTATCACAAACCCCCCCAAAGTTCGGCCCTTTTATGAAGCAACCACAAAAAGCTTTCCGGCTTCTGAAACATTCCTGAGGGTTTCGAAGCCCGCCCTTCTGTTTTCTAGGGGTTTTGAGTAAAAAAAAGGAGTGATTATTCTTTTTCTTTTTGGGATTTGTGGCAGCTGGCAGCGTGCTGTGTTCGTGTTCCTGGGGACGAGGCGAGGATGGGCAGTTAGGGCACGGAGATGCTGAGGATCGTCTGCTTCCGACGCTGGTGAGTGCGCTGAGTAGCCCGGGGATTGTGTCGATTGCTTGCGGAGCTGATCATACTACTGCTTACTCTGAGGATGAGTTGCAAGTTTACAGTTGGGGGTGGTGAGTGAATTTACCAAATTTCTTTTTGGTTTAGGGGGTGTTTGGTTCGCTAGGTTTATAGAAAAGGGCTGACGGTAGTATTTCTATAAATAAAAATTTTCGGTAGATTTCTATCAACTTGCGTTTAATTCAAAAAAAAAAAAAAAAAATTACATAAATTTTTTCTATGAGGTACAGAAAAGTACCCCATTTTATAAGAATCAAATTACTCTCAAAATGGGCTGAAATCATCCAGCAATCTGACACGAATAATTTAAAACCAATTTCCTATCTACCCGTACCTATTTTTCCAGACGAAAACATTTTCTTCGCTCTCGTTCCCGCCCCCAAATCCACTGACGAACCAACTGCTTTGCATCTTTTCGTCTTCCTCCTGGTCTTGTGCTCAGGTCTTTTTGCCATTATCGCTTGCTCGAGCTCAAGCTTCATTGGTTTTCTCCAATCTCAGTTTTTTACGGTGCGGTTGATTTGGGGGTTCTTGAATAATCAGTTCTTTGGTTAAAAAGTTGATTTTTGTCGATCGATACCTCGTCGGATTGCTCGAGTACTCGTTTCTGCGCCGATTTGAGGTAAAAAAAGCCTAAACCCCTTTTCGAGCGGCTGATTTGTGGGTTCTAGTATGGCTGAAATTTCTTCAATTTCTTCAATAGTGCTCATGCTTGTTCATGTCTTCAATTTTCGTTAATGAACTGTTTATGGTGCTCAATTTCTTTAATTTCTCCGGTTTATTTAGACTTAGAGCACAAGAGCTATGCAGATTTCTAGTCCTTTCATATGTTGATCAGGTGATATAATATCATCTTTGGTAATGAACCAAACCCTCTCCATTTGTTTAGTCCCACATGCATCGGATCTTGCAATAATCTCACATCACACTCTCCGTTGTTAAGAGATGAATAAGATTAGCAAAACTTTTCTATAGATTTTTCATATTCAACCAAACAAAAGAAAAAGAAATCATGCTATTTCTATAAAATAATGGGCCCAATTTCATGTTTTGAACCAAACAAAGAAAGTACAAGAAACAAGAAAAATTGTTATCTTTGAGTTCTCAAAACTTTTCCTATAATTTTTTATAGAAATACAAAGAAATCTACCTTTTGGGTGTTTTCCTTTTTCTATTTTTTATAGAAATTGAACCAAACAGCCACTTAGTTTTTAAAAATGTGTTGTAGTAGTTGTAGTTGTAGTTATTTGTTTCTAATCATTATGGGTATTTTTGTAAAAATAACATTTCTTACGTAAATGGTTTGACATTAATATAGGATCATTTTGCAATAATGTTTTTTTTGTGTTGTGGGAAAAGGCCTATTTTTTCATTTACATTTCTAAAAGCAATAAAAGTACAGTGAAAATAAATTGTTTATTTTAGTAACCGGGCAATATGTCCTAGGGATTTAGGGCTAATTTGGTATCACAGATGCTTAAAAGCATTAGACCATGAATGACTTGTGCGTGGAAGCCAATTGTTGTGCTTCGAGGAACCAAACACAAACGTCAAGAGAGAAGCCAAACAATTCAAAATAACGGCACAAACACAAATAATCAATTTTTACGTGGTTCGGCAAGTTGCCTATGTCCACGAGGCAAGAAGGGGATGTGGTTTTTACTAATAGAGAAGAAGAGTACAAACTGAGTTTACAAATCACTTCAACTCACCAATTAATCTCACCAACAAAGCTCTTAATCTCTCAAACAAAACCCTAACCAATAACTCCAGAAAATACCTCTTTTCTGTGCTCCAAATATCCCCACAACAGCTCCCCTAAGAAATCCTAAAACGTGGTTGCTATTTATATCAAACAGCAATCCCAAACAGAATAGGAAACCGTAATCAGGCCCAAATCCGACTGGCCGTTGACCGTCGAAATCGTAGCGGTTGACCAGACAGAACGACAGAAATCAAAAAAATGCATTACAGGGTCCGTGGTCGAACGCACTTGACGCCGCGATCGACCGGCCAGAAAACTGAAAAAACACCCTGTAGTCGTGCACGTTTACGGTCGGCCGCGCCAAAGCTCGTAGTCGACCGACAAGCACTTAAATGTCTGTCTGCATCATATTTCTTGATCTTCTCCAATGTTTTCACCGTTTCTACATGACTATCCCTGTGTTCCATTATTAAGAGTTTAACGAAGCAACTCACAAGATTACAAGAAAAGAAAGCTACGAACAAAAGAAACTGAAGCTTAAACTATGACAAAACAAAAGGAAACAACCCAGATACAATGAACCACGGAAATAACAGAAGAACAATCGATGGAACCAAAAGGAAATCCTACCACACTTATCATTATCATATACCTTTAGCCTTTGACAATATTACCTTATTTGTCCTGGAATGTTTCTTACTACCCCTAAGCATGTAGCTAAATTGTGTCTCTCTTTTGATCATTCTCACTTAAAATGATTTTTTACAGTTTTAACATACACCTTCACTACTTTCGAAAGTAGCTTATAATATATAATTACCAAATAATTATTTTCAGCAGCTTATATCTATTGCTTAGATAAGTAACTTTTATAAACTCCAACAATACCAAACTAGCCCTTACTGAAAGAATCCTAGAGGGGGGTGGTGGTGAATAGGGTATTGCTAATCTAATCCGACATCGATGCCAAATTAAAAACTTCTAGTATAATATCCTAACAATATGATATATACAAGATAAATATGCAAGGATAAGCAATGAAATAATGGGCGATAGATTATGAGACAATATAAAAATATGCACAAGAAAAGTACGCCAAAGCCAAACGCAAACAAACAATATGATCACGGACTTCGGTCTAACACTCGACCTACGTCTTCGCTCCTCACCTCGAGGAGATTCTCCACTATTACAAAATAACTATACAAAAGGTTTTCAAAGCTCACCGAAAATTTTTACAATACACATTGTCAATTCGACAAGACACTCCTCTAAGTGTTGGCCTACCCGTGTCACATTTCTCTAAGTGCTTGAAATTACTACCTCTTGTTTACAAGGGAAATTAAAAGAAAAAAAATAGAGAATTGAATTTGTATTATTCTCTCTAACTGATTTAGAAAAAGAATGAGTTATAATTCTCTTAATGCAATCTCTCTCTAACAACTTTGTAAGCGTCGGAATGCCCAACGTGTATAGTTTGTAAAAGAAATTCAAAGTGGTGTTAGTATCCATCAGAGAAATAATAATATTTGAGTAGGCTAATCTCTTCTTGACCAAGTCGTAACATCAATCTCAAGAAGAGTAGAGCAATCTCTAAATATTTACTCCGATACATATTAGTATCACTTTGTTTGTAAAAAAAGAACAATTTAGGAGGTGCATGCTTTCAAAATTTTATTTATTTCTGTTAATTACTCTTGTTGAAAGAAACCCCTGATTAGTAGAAAGCAAAAAATTAAATAGACATCAAGAATCAAATGTAGAGAGAGATCAATTTCATAATCTTTTTAATGTATTACAAAATTGAAGAGAAAGAAGATGAGATCTTGGGTCTCCAGACAATGTTCTGGAGCCCTCCACCCTTTTTAAAATAAAAAATACAGAGGACCTTGTCGTTGTTTCAAATTCTAAGCCTCTCGTTCTTTTCAATCTCTCTGTCTTTTCTCTATCTTTTCTGTCGTTCCTTTTATTATCTTTTTTTTGAATGACAAATGAGGTCTTAATTTATAGGAAAGACCAAGGGGAACTGGAAGTTATCGCCGGGTGTTTAAAACGGATTAGTGGGGGAGTTATTGTAACTTCCTCATTGAAACTTCCTTATCAAGATTGTTACGTTCGTTTATCATAACAAACGTCTTCTTTGCTTTTCATTTCTCAAGTGCCTATCTGCTTATCTTTCATGTTTCTAAAATAAGTGTAATGGAGAGCATGTATCCCTTCAAGTTAAAATAAGGTTCATATGAGGGTGAATATCATCGAGTTAGATTTTATAGCTAAGGCTTATGATCACATGACTTTCAAATTTACATAAGGTGCTATCATACTCAATTTAATTTTTATTTATATGAGGTACTACACCTCACATTGATTTTGATTTGTATGAGACACTGCTGTCATCCTCAACTTGATTTTCATTTATGTGAGGTACTACGCCTCACATTGATTTTGATTTGTATGAGGTACTATCCCCCACATTAAGTTTTATTGAACAAATTTGATAATTACAAAGAAAATATGTGCATCTCTGAATTAATTAATATGGAAGACTAACCTTCATTAGTTTAGATTTATATGATGTACTACCTTCATATTGGTTTTATTTACAAGGCTTGTTGAGCTCATCAATTTTGACAACTACAAGGAGAAGACGTGCCTCTCTGAATAAATTAATATGGAGGGCCTACCTTTATTTGTTTAAATTTGTATGAGGTAATATCCCTCATATCAGTTTTATTTCTTATGTAGTACTATCATCCTCACAGTAAGTTTCATTTATAGGGCTTGTTGATACATAATAATTTTTTTGTATCCACAAACTTAGAAAAAGAAATTACAATCTTCTTGTATCGGATTCCCGATTTACAAAAAAGAGAAAGATTGACGAAGATCCTTCCCTTTGTTTAACCTGGGTTCTTCTTGGTGTCGATGGAATGTCTCCCTCAAATACTCACGTCGAGTTTACTTTCCGTTGATCCGAACATTTCACCTCGCGGTCTTCGCCTCTTGACTCAAAGTCTTGGACGAACTTGCGTGGCAAGTTTGAAACTCTTAACGAGTTTGAGAACTCAGAACGAGTTTTGAAAGAACTCTTTAAAAGAGTTGATTGATTTAACCGAAATCGGTTTGTAAGCCAAGGTTGATGAAAGCTCCAAAAACCACTCTGAGGGTCTGAAGATTGCCGAGATCCTTCTGCCAAGAAGCCTTGTGCCGATCTTAATTCTCCAGAAATTCCCCTCCAAAGGACTCCTCTTAATTAACCTAAAAATTTAGCTATTTATAGGAGATTAAGGGGTGTAACCGCTCCCTTAATCCGCTTCTAAGTGGGGCAAAAATCTCTCAAATCGTGAG